CACACACACACACACCCAGGGTGGTCTACTTGACAGAAGCCATACTGGAAGGGGAGATGATCTCTCTCTGTCTGTCTCTCTGTCTCTGTCTCTCTCTCTCACACACACACACACACACACACACACACACACACACACACCCAGGGTGTTGTATGAGAGGTCCACAGGGTGGTGGTGTGCTTCCTGGTCAAGGCTATAGGTATGCTTCCCCAGGGAAGGCCTGCTATGATGGCAGGTAGTCCGACAACGAGAGCAGAAATCCCCTTCCACAAAACATCCACGCATACAATCCCCAACAGACAGAAAGAGGCCACCCTCAAGGGAGGAGTGGACGAGGCTGCCTTGAAGGAGAGCTGTGTATGATGGCCTCTCAGAGCTGGACAGGCCCTGGCCAACTGTGCACTGCAGGACTCTCCACAGGGACCACGCTGAAAGCAGAGAGACCTGTCACATTTAACGCTACCACTGAGAACTACGCCAGCAGACCTCTGTCAAAGTGCCAGGAAAGCTAGTGTCTGCGGTGACGTTACAGTCACGGCATGTGCACAGAGTTTTCCTGGGACACAGCCACACTCACTTGCTGACACACAGTCTGTGTGAGCAGCAGTGATGAAGACCATACATAGCCCACAAAGCCTCATGTGTTTACACCTTGCCTTTCCCTCAGACGGGAAAGCCTACCACCCCTTGCTCCCGATGAGGAAAAAAAGAGGTCCAAAAAGCCAGACACATACATGCCCTGTACTGACAACTCCGAAATGCCCAGATCTGTTGCTTCGCACAATCCTACAGACGGGGTCCTCAACCCCACCTGACCACATGGAGCAACGGACAGAGATAGCACGGTGCCTCCTGTGTGTTCCAGTACTCCCCCACCGTCCAGGGAGAACATCCAGAAGTCATGTTCTCAAAGCAACCAATAAAAGCCAAAGCCCTTTAAACACTCTTTAAAACCACAAAAACAAAGAGTTCAAGGCCAGCCTTGGCTACATAGGGAGTTCAAGGCTGAAATGAACTACATAGTGAGACCCTGCCTCAATAAGTAACTAGCTAGCTAGCTAGCTCTGTGACAAGTCAACCTGCGCCTCCACAGGCCCCGGCACTCTCAGACGTCTATGGCCCCTTCTCCAACTGTCTGGATAAGGATGAGTACACGACAAGACCCAGTTTCACGCCATTCAGGAACTCGGTCCACCAGTGGGGTGCACATACAACGTGGGAAT